TGTGTGTGTGTGTGTGCATGTAAGGTTTTTTACTGTCTAGGGGGGTTCCAAGCCCTGGAAAAGTCATGTGCAAGGACCATTTTCTGGGGCTCATTAGGGGAAAAGTTTAGTTTTTTGGGGTTGGAGGGTTAAAGTTAGGTTAAAATATGGATTGGGGCTACTTCTGACATTTCAGCAAGTTGCACTAACAGTTAAAACTACACTGCTTCAGGGGAAATTCTGGTATTTTTTAACCTGTCTCTCATCATCATCATCATTTTTCCCTTATGGCTTCTGTTGTAGAGAATCAAGAGATTCTGGTGTGGGATTGTATGTTGAGGCAAGCAGGCTTCCCCACAGCTTTTCAAATGAAATAAAAATGTACATAAATAATTTCATGATTGCACGTTGTGCATGACTATGTCCCAACAGAATGATGTTCACATGCTCTGCTGCAGCAGATGGAGGACTTTTGTTTATAAGTGTTTGTGTATTATTTCCAGGCTGACTTTCCATTGTTCCACCTGATAGAAACCCTGTATCTCCTCTCCTTGTCTCTGGCAGTATGCATGCGGACAGCGTCACTTTGAAGTGAGCGCACCGATGCACTTCAAACAAGATCTCACACACTTTGCCTGTATGCCAAGAGGAAAAAAAGGCTGAAAAAAGAGCTTTTCTCTGCATCCTTATAGAGTGCACTCTGATCCACCCTCTGTCTCTTCATCTATTCTTCCATTTACCTCTCAAATCCATGGCTCGGCTATGCCGCTTTTCTCTGCACATCAATGCAAAATAACTCTCTTGAAGCACCGTATGAACTGTTTCACAAGTTGTAGTATACAAGTGCTGCTGTGACCGACAGTGGGAAGAGTGTTTCACGCGCAGATGCATGCAGACACACAGTTTCAGATGTCACCACCTCAGCCTGTCACTGTGCAAGTACAAGGGAACATATTGTTTGTTTTACATCTGAGCAATTCCTTCTTTTGTTTGTGGTCAGGTAAAATATTTACTATTCATTTTTAAGAAAACATTTATATCCACTTGGGCTTTAGTTGAGTTCATCCTTGATCTTGGAAATAGTAGATGGACACAAAAGGTGTAGTATATGGACTATCATCCTATCCCTGGTGACAGCTGGCACAACTTGCATTTCCAGTTGCACTCTTAAGGTTAGAAAAAAAGTATGTCTGCCTATGCAACCAAACCCATATTTAATTTGACACACGAGGCTTCAAAAAACAGCCACACTTTACAATTGTAGAGAAAACTCAACATTTAAGGGCAACAAAGTAAAAAAAAAAAACTTTAAGAAGGACAATTGTCATCTTTGACTTTGTCTAACTTCAAAGTTTCACTTTTGTCACTTACTGCAAGTTGTAATAACCTTTTAAATAACTAAATACAGTGCATACTGCTGATATGTGAATAAGCTAGCAGAGTTTCTAAACAACTTAAAGGACCAGTGTGTAGGATTTAGTGCCATTATGTGGCTGTATTTATTATGTATGTGTTTATTACAGTATCAACACGCTGAACATTTGATGAATGAATGAGGACTGGACAATGTATACTATTTATATATGGTGATCAATATGTCTGATTTGTATTGTATTGCTTTACAGTGGCTGTAAAGTATATGCAAAATGTAGCCTGGTCAAAGCAGATGAGACACAAGCAGCGGCCCAGCAGTATCGCACTCTTCTTGTGGATTACCTATTTCCACTGCAGCGATCAACAGTGTGCGGTAAGTTACAGTACAGATTTCAGCTCTGATATGGGAATAAATAATAAATGCAGGGGCCTTTTTTGTTCTTCTAAGACTTTTTAAAGGCAACATAAAGTTGTGCATAAGAGGCTATCACAAGTCAGTTTGACATCCAACTGATGTTGCCACACAGACTGACTTAAAAAGCTTTCAAAACCGCATGCAACTCCAGACATATTTTCTGTATTACCTTCATTTCAAGCAACACTACAGCAACATTAAGAATGCATGTGCTGCTGTCACACACTCCCTGTACACTGTGTTTAATCAACTAAGTACAAGCAAACACAAAGCCAGCGGTGGAGTGGCAGTTTTTCACCCAGGACTGGTGTAATAAAATCACAAATTAAGTTTTTAAAGGCTTACGGCATTACTGTACTGTGTGTGCTGACCGTACCGAAGTGTAGAGGTAGCCCTCGCTGTTCATGGCAACGTAGAGCCCTGTCTTGGTGCTCTGGATGGCCACTATCCTGAGCCCCACAGGAATCAAGTTGAACTGCACTGCAAAAAAACAAAAACAAAAACAAAACAGAGAGGCAGGAGTGGTGTTAGAGCAATCATTCTTTCTCTTAAACGCTCACAGTGCTTCCTCGTGGCATAAAAAGACAATTGCTTTCCAGATGTCTCCTATTTCATCCTCCCTGTTGTACAGTATATCTGTCGAAGGCGGGGATAGAAAGTGTGTGAAAAAGAGAGAAGGAGAGGCAGGGAAGGATTAGGGGAGGGAGATTTAGGGAGGAATAAAGTCTGGTTGCTGGTACACCGGAGGTCAGACAAAGACAGGAGTGACAGTATGGAGAATTCCCCTGCTGGAGAGAGAGATAGAGAGAGCATAGCTTAGCAGAGAGCTTTAAGAATACAGTACATTAGAAAGTGACATTTCCTGAGCCCGCTTTGAATTCATTTCCTCTGTCCCGACACAGTAAACAGCACTTTGTAATGCAGTTCGCTGAATCCCCTTCATATGGAACCTTGGATTTCTTATGTGCATAGCTCTCCATATAAACTAGCTTTAACCTGGCCACCAAAACAGCACTCACACTGTGTGCTTGAATCTGTTGTCCTGAGTGGGGATGCCCACATGTTCTTGTAATTTGTCAGGGTGCTTTTTTTCTACCCATGCATGCAGATACTTGCCTGTGTATGTGCATGTGCTTGCCTGCGTACGCAGATGTGTGTTTATCCTTCTCAGAGCAGTGCGAGTGTGCACCATCCAAAGCAGGGCCTTATAAAATGTGACACAGTAAGTTGAGTGATACTGACAAAATGGCCTCCGGCTGCCAGCTGCTCTGTGGTCACATCAACCATATTGACCGAACGCTACCGTGACGATTAGTGTCCCTGAAGCCTTTGAATTGGATCTGGGATGAGTAAGACAACCAAAACAGATGAGCTTCAGAGGATCGGACACATTAGAGCTATAATAAAATTAAAGGAATATTTTTGGTCATTGTACTTCTTTCCTTTTTTGCCTAGAGTATGTTAGAAAATCAATACCACTCTGGTGTCTGTGCACTGGGACTTATGTGCTGTATCATTTTCTTTCTAGTGACATCCTGGAATCTTATCATCACTGAGGTTGTCAGGCACAACTATTTACATTTCTGTTTGTATTGTATGGATTACACACAAGATAGATAGAGGTGTTGATTAGTAAGTTTTAGAGGTGTTGGAAAGCATATTTTTGTACTTTTGAGTGAGCAAGGCTAGCTCCCTGTCTTATGTAAATGTTTTGTAAATGTCTGTCTTGTGAAAGCACTTTGAATTGCTTTGTTTTAAGGAGTTATATGAGTAAACACACCTTGCTTTTTTGTAAATTCTTTATGCTAAGCTAAGCTAATTGACCACCAAGTGCTGGCTCCACAGCTAACGCATAGACACATAGTGGTATCAATCTTTTCATCTAACGCTTAGAAAGCAACTAAGTGGATTCCCCAAACTGTTCAAACTATTCCTTAAATTACTTTAAATGAATGTTTACCTATCTCTTTAAAGGTCAGGTCAAATTAAACAAAAAAAAAAATTGAGCTTGGATGAAATAGTTTGGAGCTCCCAACACAATATATTCATTAGTGAATGGAATAGCCAATTCAACAAGTTCCAACTACTATATTTTAGGTTGACCATGAAAACAATCTGCCTATGAAGATCATGAGATGTGTTAGAAAGCTGAGGAAACAGCTGGTCATGGACCTTGAGTTGAGATTCTTTAATTCTAGTCATATATGATATGTTCTTATATGAGTGAACACATAGGAATCTTGTTGCAGGACTGCTGAACAAACTCTTGTTGGTAGGAATTGAGCCTGTGACACAGGTGTAACACTCTCAGTAACCACACGCCTGCCCCACTGATAGACCATTGAATCTTCCCGAAATGAGCATCACATCTGTCATAAGTCATGTTTGTACAACTCCTCCAATAATACAATTTAAGACTGTCTTGGGATCAACTTTTGTTTAAATTCTGCTCCAAAATATAGAAACCAGCATCATTATGATGCAGTTTGCAGCACATTGTAGGTTCTTTTTTTCTTACTTTGACCAATTACAAGTGTGCATTATAGAGTGACAGCTTGGTTGTCAAAATGACTGATGTCTTATAGAGATGAAAAATTCTCAGGAGTATGTTTTAGATTCATGGAGCCATTAGCTGCTATTAAACAAATCAATTTCAAATCAAAAGTTCTGCCAACATAATGGATGGAAGTTAAGTTATCAGACCAAGATAGAAAGTCAATGCTGGCCATAATGGGGAAAAAAATCCTGAAACCTTGTCAGTCTTATTTTTGATGAATATTGAGTTTTTTTGTGTTAGGAATTATCAAGAAAGATTTGGTTTCACGAGTTCTTCCACATCCTGTTGAGGGAAACTTACAAGTTACAACTATATTTAGGCAGAATGTGGGCTGAAAAGATTTTTAACATTCTTACTGCTAATGTAAGAGTAGTTACTGCAATCTCACATTAAACAGGAATAATAACTCCAGTATAAATAAAACAAAACACCGTACAGATAGTGATGTGTGTCCAATTTGAAGGTGCAAATGAAAACAGCACGTGTCTCACCCCCTCTTTCTATCTCCCTCCTCTCTCTATCTTCAGGGCCCTGCTCCTATTTGCTCGATCGATCCCTGCATCTCAAACAGTCGGTTTCGCAAATGAACAAGGTGTCACCAAAGACCGTGGCCGGGATGACAAATAGAGCAGGGCACACACACACACACACACGTCGCCTCCCTCCTTCTCACTCTCCTTCTTCCCTTCACTATTGTTTCTCCCTCTCTTATGTACACCAGCAGCCTTACCGTGGTGTTGATGACCCCGCGTGACCTGCTGCACACTGAGACACACACGGACAGAACACCGCCACACATGCAGCACTGTGCTGCCCTCAATAATAAAATGAAGAATGAAGAGAGCATTTCTCATGTGCACTTTTTTATCTCTGCATGGTGAAGTGATGTGAGAGCAGTACTTCATATATAAAGAGTTTGGATGATTCTTTTTTTTTTTTTACTCTCAAAATGTGTAAAAGAAAAATTAGAAAAGTGTGTTTGACTGCTCTGAAGTAAGCCTGTAATTGTTAGTATGTCCAGCTTACTATCTTACAACCTATTATGTCCTGGTTTTCAACATTCACTACCAAACTGTACAGGTTTTCACCACAATTAGATAATAATTATAATAATATACTTGTTTTCAGCACTTACATTCAGGTTTATGATGTTCTGTCCCACTCATTACCTAAAACAACAATGCCTGTACACATTCGAATTAAACACTGATTTCTCTGTATGTGTGTCAATCAATCAATCTTTTGTTATCAAGGATGTTGGTAGCCTGCGGCTCTTTCTAACGGAACCTGCTAGTATGCTAATAACGTGCACATACACAGGGTCCCGATCTGGTGCTTTAAAAATATGGTCACCCTATATGACACAGTATATTTTTGGGGGGGTGGAGGTTATGTAAAAAAGGTCTTGCATGCGTCTTATGCTGCTTTGATTAACATTGCTCTGTTGGATTTGGGAAATTCCTCATTCCAAATAGTGTCGCATTCACCAAACACAAGTTAGTTCTCATCCTAAAAAGTATTTTGTGTTGTTAAAATACGAAAAGTAACCTCAGTCTGAGTGGGCATGCTAAGCAGCCAAACAGGGTCGTGTTAGAACGAAATACAGTCTGATTTTAGTTGTTCATCATACATAAACACAAAATACAACTAGCTAGCTCTAAACTGCGATGCAAGAAAAATGTTGGATGCTGTTTATTTCTACATGGATCATCATCTGCTTAGGAAACTTACTTTTTACATGTAACATTAGCTTTAGCCTCAGTCTTTTAGCACAATATCAAGTATGTAGCAATCAGATGCATAAGACCCTTTCACAGGGTTCCTGTTTTAAAACTAGTCAGCTGGAAACATTAAAAAGTCGGCCCTAAAAAAACTCATGAAACTAATGTTGGCTTAATTAGCTAGCTAGCTAGAGCTGAAAAAAACAAAAAAAAAAACAGGTGATGTCACTGGCTAGAAATCAGGATCCATTGTTTCCAAAATTAGGCTTTAGGCTTCAAGTTGTAAATCTACCCATTATTGTAAACTCTGTACTGTCCCAAAATGGAAAGCTTGACAGGCGTAGCAACAGTAATGAGCTTAGTGAACGGTCAATTATTTCATCTCTTTTCTCTCTACATCCATCTCTCTTTATTTCCCCTCCCCTAGAAAGAGTTTGCTTCCTTTCTCACCCCCAATCAAAAAGAGCTTTTCTTATCAAACGGATCACATAGGGTTATGGCTGTATAATAGAGGCATCCCATCTCTCTTTTGTTTTCCCTGTTTCCCTCATCGCTCTCTCGCTCTCTCTCCGTCCTTCCATTTGACTCACTTTTTTCTCTGCAAAATCGCAGAGGAGGTCGCTGGATTAATCAAAAAGTCTTTTGAGGGAGAGACGGAGGGAGGGGAAAGGAGAAGAGGGGAGGGGAAATGAAGGGGAAGGAGGAGGGTGTTGCCAAATCAATCCCACAAGTCAATTTGAGGCTTGAGATCTCACAATAAATAAACAAGGAGAAAGTGGAGATGGAATGAGGGAGAGGAGGGGGAAGCAGTAGCAGGACACAAAGTTAAGCTGTGCAGAGGGCATCTGCAGGCCTGCACACTGCGCTGCCGCTCTGCAGCGCCGTATTGTGCAGCCCAGTTGGTCTCTACTGGAATGAGAAGAGGATTATAGTCATCTGTAAGAAGTCACACAGAGTTTAACTGCTGGACAGGCCCGCGTCCTTTATTCTATTTCCTGTTTGAATGAAGCTGAGTTGGCGAAAGCATTGTGATGTGACAGAAACTTCTAAAATGGACTCATTTCTGGATTATCTCTTAATAGTTATTCACTCATGTCGAATAAGCTAAAAGAAAAGCTAGACGAGATCATGCTCTCAAGATCAAGAATCCTCAAGCTGAGATAAGTGAAGCATCATTGTCCCTGACAGAATCAGTAACTTTT